AGTACATTTGCATCCTGCGGTGCACTTCATATCTGAGAGTCAAATAGAACCGTCAAACACTGTGCTTACAGCTCACTTTGAAAAATTCTAATTGTTTTGGGTGATAAAAAGTAAATCTGGGGTGTGCACTTCATATCTGAGAGTCAAATAGAACCGTCAAATACTGTGCTTACAGCGCACTTTTAAAAATTCTAATTGTTTTGGGTGCTAATGCTAAAAAGTACATTTGCGTCCTGCGGTGCACTTCATATCTGAGAGTCAAATTGAACCGTCAAACACTGTGCTTACAGCGCACTTTTAAAAATTCAAATAGTTTTGGGTGCTAATGCTAAATAGTACATTTGCGTCCTGCGGTGCACTTCATATCCAAGAGTCAAAAATAGAATCGTCAAACACTGTGCTTACAGCACACTTTGAAAAATTCAAATTGTTTTGGGTGCTAATGCTAAATAGTACATTTGCATCCTGCGGTGCACTTCACATGTGAGAGTCAAATCGAACCATCAAACACTGTGCTTACAGCGCACTTTGAAAAATTCTAATAGTTTTGGGTGCTAAATAATAAATTTGGGGTGTGCACTTCATATCTGAGTGTCAAATAGAACCATCAAATACTGTGCTTTCAGCGCACTTTGAAAAATTCAAATTGTTTTGGGTGCTAATGCTAAATAGTACATTTGCGTCCTGCGGTGTACTTCATATCTGAGAGTCAAATAGAACCGTCAAACACTGTGCTTACAGCGCACTTTGAAAAATTCTAATTATTTTGGGTGATAAAAAGTAAATTTGGGGTGTGCACTTCATATCTGACAGTCAAATAGAACCGTCAAACACTGTGCTTACAGCACACTTTGAAAAATTATAATAGTTTTGGGTGCTAAATCGTACATTTGAGTCCTGCGGTGCACTTCATATCTAAGAGTCAAATAGAACCGTCAAATACTGTGGTTACAGCGCAGTTTGACCAATTCAAATTTGTTTGGGTGCTAAATAGTACATTTGCGGCCTGCACGTCATATCTGACAGTCAAATAGAACCGTCAAATACCGATATAACAATATTGTGATTCGGGGGAAATACCCTCACAAGTCAAACTGAGAGGTCAGTTTATAGGGAAAACTGTTGCCTAGATACAATTCTAAAACAATTCCCATATGTCCTTTGCAGAGTTTACATGCTGGAAAAACACAGGTGCCAACTGCTGTGGCTTTCTGCAGTGTGCAGACCGGCAAGGAGGTGAGGGTTGAGGAGTGGGTGGAAGATGATGAGGTCCTAGACCCCACATGGAATCAAGGTCATGCGAGTGACGTGTGCAGTTTGGAGGAAGAGGTGCTGGTCGCACAGAGGCACCAGCACAGCATAAGAGGGAGCAGGGTGCAAAAGCAGAGCGGCCGTCCCCTAGCACTCGTTGGCATGTATTATTATTATTATTATTATTTTATTATTTATATAGCGCCATCAGATTCCGTAGCGCTGTACAAAGGGTGGACTAACAGACATTTAATTGTAACTAGACAACTTGACATACAGGAACAGAGAGGTGAAGGGCCCTGCTCAATGAGCTTATATGCTAGAGGGAGTGGGGTATAGTCACACAAAGGGTAAAAGTAGGGGTATGAAGTAAGTTGTTAGAAAAACTGAGGGCTTAGTAGGTAATTTTTGACAGTTGCAGGAGAGGAGTCACAGAGGGTGGAGCATAAAAACTTGCTAACAGTTTAATTGATGTGCTTTCTTGAAGAAGTGAGTTTTCAATTATTTTTTGTAAGAAGTGGAGACTGGGTGAAATTCTTATGGAGGAGGGAAGGGAGTTCCAGAAAAGAGGTGCAGCCCTGGAAAAGTCTTGGAGGCGAGCGTTAGAGGTGGGAGTACGGACAAAGGATATATGTAGGTCTTTGGCAGAGCGGCCATGTCCCATGGGAGCAGGGGGAGCCAGGCGGCCGGCACAGCTCACACATGGCCGGCCGGGATCATAAAAAAAATATATATATTTTTAAAAATAATATTGAGGCGGGGGCGGAGCTTAGTGCGTGAGGGGGCGGGGCTTAGCGTGCGGTGGGGCGGGGCTTAGCATGCGGCAGGAGCCCTGGCTAATGCAGCATGGGAAGCAGGAAGGAGTCCCTGCTTCCCCAACAACCAGCCTCCAGGAACTCCAAGCAGGAGGTAAGAAGGAGGTCAGTGTGTCTGTGTGTGACTGCCTGTGTGTCTGCCTGCCTGTGTGTATGTGTATGTCTGTGTGTGTGACTGTCTGCCTGTGTGTGTTTGACTGTCTGTGACACTGTGTGTGTGTGACTGCCTGTGTGACTGTTTATGTGTGACTGTCTGTGACACTGTGTGTGTGTGTGTGACTGCCTGTGTGACTGTGTGTGCATGTGTGACTGTCTGTGTGTGTATGTGTGACTGTATGTGACACTGTGTGTGTGTTTGTGTGACTGCCTGTGTGACTGTGTGTGTGTGTGTATG